TACTTCACTTGATGCTGTAATGAAACAATAATTTATTCAACAAGGAGATATCTTAACATTATAGAATCAATAGAAAAGTTTAGAAGCCCATTTTTATCATAATGATGAGTATATGCAAAGAAGAGTTGATTATGATATTACTTATAATGAGGCGATGGAGAAATTCTTAAGAGGTGACTATTCGTTAGTATTTCCTACTTTCCCAGATATACAGCTTATAAACCTGATGATATGGAAGAGGATTTAAACTTTGGTGATGATGATGATGATGATGATGATGATGATGAAGATGAAGATGATGAAGATGATGAAGAAGGTAGTGATGGTGTGTAGTGTTATCTGTTTGTTTTGTTGTGTTTTATTTTCTGTTTTCATGTTTAGATTTCTTGTAGTTAGTTTGTTGTTGTATATTTTTTAGAGTTTTTATGTTTAAATTTGCATTTGTATTAAACTGTTAAGGTTATGTTTATTGCACAATAAGGTTATACTGTTTTTAATGTTTATCCTTTACTTCAATGTAAATGCTATGATAGTCTTTTTTATTTTTTATCAGACATGCTAATTTCACTTGTCTTTTTTACTTGTACCTGTAATATTCTATTGTTTTTAAACTTTATAATTTTTCTTTCTGCCTGAACTACTCTGTTGAGATTAATTAAAAATTTAAATTTGGGCGAAGAGATAAAAAGAACTAAGCTTTTTTTTGTCTCAGAGAACTATATTTTTAAAATTTAATTTAACATAATCTGTGGTATGTTAGGATAACTTAAGATAACTATATTTTAAATTTTATAAATGTTATTAAAAAACTTAAGTTAAAGTTTTTAATAATAACGATTAGTTCTAAAGTTAAAATATTTAGTATAAGAGGATAATATTATGTTTTTATTTTTTAAAGTAAAGAAAACTATATTTTAAAATTATTAAGAATTTTAGAGTTTTACTTTAAAAAGATGGAATTGAGACTTTATAAATTTTTTTTTTCAAAGCTAATACAATTTTGTCAAAATATGGAAATGTGGAAAGTTTTTAACTTTAAGAAGAGGATTGAGTAGTTTAAAATCATCAAAGACTATTCGGATATATTAATCCTCACATGACATGAGAAGAAAAAGAAACGATATTAATCCTCACATGACATGAAAAGAAAAAGAAACAATTAAAAATGATCCTGAAAGAACTGAAAAAAATCCTAAAGAAAAAAAAAATAAAATAGAAGAAAAATAAAATAAAAGAAAAGTAAGAATGAAAAAAATATGAGGAGAAACTTGAGGAGATGCTTAATAAAAAATTGGCTCCGCTTGAATTATCTTAAGAAAATGAACTTAATTGCATTTCTACATTAAGGCTTAAAGTATTAGCATCCTTACTAATAAAGTCATTATGAAGTTCTTTTTAGTGTAATTCTTGTAAGTATTCAAAATATGACCAAATTACAATTATTCTTGAAATAAATAGAAAATCAAAAGTCATAGCTTGACTACTAGATATTCTTATATTTTATTTTTAACTTGAGTTATTAAAATTTTTTCTAAAGTTTCACTATCAATAAAAATTATAGAAATCTCTAAATTAAACTCACTACCACAAGTTATAATTTTTGTATAGTATAAGGAAGTTACTTGAGGACAAGTAACGTTAAAATTTGGGGGAATGATCCTCTTTAAAATTACCTGTTTTTAGTATATATTTAATAATCTTTTTATGCATATTTTTAGTGATATTGCACTTTAAAGAAATACATTTTGTTGTTTTTGGTTTCATGTACATGAAATGGGCATTTGCAGAAAATAAAGGAAAAATGAGCAAAAATTGTGCAATTTGTATGGCGCCATAGCGCCGCCCTCTGTCACTATAGCGCCACAGACGTGTTGGCCGAATTTTGAAGTGGTGTTTGAAGCAACCCTGAGTTATTTTCATAAATCTATTAATATGGATGAAAATTGGACAAAATAGAGGACTTTTTGACAACATTTGAAGGCTTTAGGAAATCCTACTTTTCTGTTTAAGTGTATGTTTTAGTCTGTTTTGTGTTGTAAGAGTAAGAGTTTGGAGAATTTTTCAAGGTGACTCTAGAATTTGTGTTGGGGAAAAGAGATAAGGTGCTTTGTATTTGTGTTTGAGTTTTTGTTTCTAAGACTTGAATTTCAATACAAATTTGGTGTTTTTGTTTTATTCTTCATGAATTCTGAGTAGTTCCATTTCTTTCTCCTTGCTCTTGGGATATAATCTTGTGGGATGAGAGTGATTTAAAGATTTTCTTTTTACTTTTAAAAATAGTGATAACATTTTCATCAAATCTTCATTGACTTTACAAATTGGTCAATTGTGAGGTTAAAATCCGTTGAGAAACATAAAAACCCGAGATGACTATGATTTCACTAAATTAGTGAGTGTCATACTTAATTTTGGGCAAAGTCGTTGCAATCACCTAAGAGGGAGTGTAAATAGATAGATAGATAAGTTTTGATAGACGTATAATTGATGTTTCTAGGGTAACAGACTATGTTCTTTTTCAAATTCGGTTTAGAGTTTGGATTGTAAGGGTTCCTAATAGGTCTTATATAGAGGGCACAGTGGATAATCTGGAGGTGAGGTACTAGAATTTACTCAGTACTACTACACAAGCTGGTGAAAAACTCTAAATTAGTCAATGTTCTTTACTAGCACCAGGAGACGGTAAAGAATATGAATGCTCCTATTTGTCACAATACATCATCATATATTTAGTCATTCAAATCCTACATAGATTAATAACTCATTACAAGGGAAAAGATCTTTATATATTATTTACACTCGTTAGAATTACTTTTATTAAACTTTTAATTATAGTTGTTTCTATTTGCATTAATTTAGTCTTAACCGTTGCTATTATTTTGTTTTTATTTAATCTGCAATTTAAATAGAATTCGTTTCTGATTTTTGTACGTCAATTTAAAAGAGTCCAACTATCCTCGTGGGATTGATACTGAGTTTTTAAAGAAAATCTTATATTAATCGGAACGATACGTATACTTGCGTAGTATCTCTATTGTGAAGTTTAATTATTTATTTTTCATATCATTTCATTTATTCACACTAGTCAGCTAAATATAATTTGGGTCAAGTTTTTGGCAATATTTTGGAGATTAAAAATATATGTAATTGCGGGTTGGGTCAGACCCACATACGAGCCGACTTGATTGGCCGGCACAGGTTTGGGTCTCAACTTTTTTTCTTCTTTATGACATTTCTTTTCTTTACAGAGGCACAAATTCAGTAGGCCGCCATTTCAGGGGCCACCTTGCCTTGGCTCGTACCATTAGCCATGCTTCGGCTATCTATGGAAAGTTGGTGGCAGAGAATGTAAATGTCAACCCTATGGTCCTATTTATAGGACTCATTGGGCATGAAATCCCAAATGAAATCAATTGTCAAATTAATCTTCTTAATTTTAGTGATGTTAACTGTCTAACAGTTTCTTTGATCTTATCGTAGCTGTTGTTATCAAGTAGGAAAACTCAGAGAAATAATATGTATATGCAAAAATTACTAGCACGAATCTCAAAGCAATCAGACAACCAAGTACGACGACTGACAATCAAAGCGACAAACCAATGGAGTATGGTCTGAACCAGCGTTGGAGGACCAACCACTCTATTGGGTCGGCAGACCCACGCTCTCGAGGGATTCAATCAACGGATGGTGCTTACGGTCTCAGCTAGCAAAACCTCTTTCAAGGGCTCCCGATCACAACTAGTTGATCAATTGGCTTTGCTCGGCATGAGCGATCGCCACACAAACGGTCGTCTCGGTCAACCAAACTAAATTGCATCGATCCACTAATGACGTTGTATTACACTTAAATGACAACACGAATCTTGTATTAATTTAGCGCATTTACTATATTAAGGGTGGTTTCCATAGCCATTCATTCCTTTCTATAATTGTACAAAAAGACCTCCTATAAATAGGAGATGAATAAAGGTACCTTTTCCTTGATTCCTTTCTCAAGAATCCTTTGTCAGCTCTACTCTTACTCTCCTTCTCCTTGCTCCAACTCTTGCCTGTTTTATCTGAAAGACAGTTTAGTAAAATTATTAATATTAAATAAATAAAAATAGATATAATATATTAATTTAGAATTTAAATGATCATTATTAATTAATATTACTAATTAATTTTTGCTTGTTGATTTTATCTTTTATTCAATTTAATTAAATAGAAGTGGTTTTTATTTAATTAAAGCTAGACTTATGCCAATAGAAAATTGTTATTTATATATCTCCCTAATTCATTAATTAATGATTAATATAAATTGAAATAATATTAAATGAAATCAAATTAAAGTAATCTTTATAACCATATCGCGATAAGTAATATTAAAATTCTATTTAAAATAGCTGACTCAAATCCTAAAATAAGTGGCTATGCAGTTCATCATAATTTAATCAGATTTTGATTATGTCATGCCTAACAGTTTTTGGGATTTAAGTGCTTCATGATTTATTAAATTGAGATTTACTAAATCATGCTTGCAGCCAAACTGCCCCTTAGCAATGGTATGACACTTATTTTTCAATAGATGCAAAAATTTTCTTTTAGCAGCAATATTTGGGCAAATAAATCCAACCGTGCATTAATTTTCATTTCATATGATTGATTCCTAAAATTCTTATTTCAGTTATTTGGCTGCTGATATTTTTTTTGAAAGATTTACGTACATATCATTATATTTTAATGGATTTACACTTCTAGCACATAAATTCATTTTGTACATATATACCACCTTACCTATGCATGAAAAGCTATATGTCACTTTTTAAAAGACAAGAGTAGTATTTTTTATATAATATGGGAACTTTGGGTGGCATAGAAGTAAAGAAGTAAAGTTTAGGTATTAGATATGTAAATACATAATAATTAAGTGGTATATGTACGCAATTTAAAAACACCACCCCCACACCAACCCCCCTCCCCTTCTTTTTTTTCCCACTGAAAAGATTATTTGTGTGCTGTAGGGATCTCTCCAACAACTCTTTTACAGGTGATCTTCCTGAAAGCTTCAGCTCCCTGTCTAACTTAACGGCCCTGTAAGACCGTTAGTAAATTTAAAGGTTCTCCATGTAACCATTTAATCCTACACAATGCTCCGATTTGCTCATCCTATTTAATTTACTGCAGGTATTTGCAGAACAACCAATTTACAGGTCATATAGATGTCCTCTCCAATCTACCCCTTAATAACCTGTAAGTATTCTTGCTGTTCTGAGTTTTGTTTGGAGTAAAAGCAAATCCATGTCTCAATGCAGTGATGATATATTTTTCCTGCTGTTTAGTAATGTTGCAAACAATCGATTTAGCGGAGCTATTCCTAATCAACTGCAGAAAATCAACAATATCGAGTGAGTATGCAATATAAATCATATATTTACTGCATGAGCAAAGTGTCAAAATAGTAACCTGCTCATATCCAGCCATTTTAGCCGCAGAGCATCTAAAAAAGCCAAATTAGTCTTAATATGGACTGAAATAGTCCCCAAGGAGGATTATTTTAGCCCTCGGTAAAAGAGATGAATTAAATTGACACTTCATGGACTCCAGGACTAAAGTGACCCCCGAAAAAAAGATCACGGACTATTTTGACACTTTTGTCGTTACTGCAATATCTATGATTTGAAGCCAAATTTTTATTTTATTTTGTTTTTTTAGCACTGATGGTAACTCATGGAGCACTGAGGCTGCACCTACACCAGTTACAAATGCCCCTCCATCACCCGGCAGACGCTCAAACCCTGGCCAGAGATCCGGGGGAAGAAATATTAATCCATCTCATAGTGATGGAGGTAGTTCTGGTATTAATGGGGGAGTGATAGCTGGAATTGTCATAGCTGTTGTTGTTATCAGTGCAGTAATCTTCTTCTTCTTGGTGAAGAAAAAAGCAAGGAAATCTTCTGGAGAGGAACTTCATTCACAAAGTCAGCCTTTTGATTCTCTTGCATTCGATGAAATTAAAGGTAAGATAGATGTTTATAGTGAGAAAAGTTAAAATGCCCTCTCTGATAGATATAAATGCCTGCATATTGATTTCAATAATGCTGAATTTGTTTGTGTATTAACTAAGGGGTCGGAGAATGAGCCTAATGCATTAAATCATTTGCCTAATTTTTGTACTTTTTGGCAGTATAATGAAATCACATAGCTTCTCACTCAAGATTTTCCTTCTCCATCTTCTATGCTTCTCTCTAGCTTAAATCATGTATTGCTAGTAAAGCTCAGATGTCACTCCAATGGATAAACTTGGATCCAATTATATGACAATCATATTGCAATAGAGTTTATTTCAAAACTTTAATGGTTAAATATAATAGATTTTGCTCATTATCATTAATGTCCATTGGGGCTGTAAAATAGTTCAATTGCTAATTTTTTCTGTTACTGAGTTAGTTATTAGGACTTGTTAAGAATATTTTTTAGCGGCATATACATACATACCACACAATTCTTATGTATTTACACATCTAAAACTTAAACATTCATATTTACATTCGTAACTTTGATAGTTTAATAACATAGCAAAAATGTCAAATTTCTAACTTTTTAAAAGTGAAATATATCTTTTCATGCATAATTTAATTAAACCTGAAAAGTCAGTTAAAACAAATGTGAGTTAAACGAGTCAGTGAATACTTATATTTCTAAACTATCGCAATAGAATGAAAAGAAAGAACAATATGCATGCCAGCTAAGCTTTTTTATAAATCAATATAAACTTTTGACATGCTATTTAAAGGGGTGTCTATATCATTATCACATTAATATCATCTCATATTTATACAACCATTACAGGTGGCATCGTCTAAAAATTGTGTCATTTAAGCATATAAATACTATTATTCTCTTGCATTTACATGCACAAATATATTAATGTTCCCCCACTAATATCATCAAGAAGTGCTCTATTATAGTCAATCATGCACATACAAGCATTCAATATAAATCATGCACATACAAGCATTCAATACAATTCTTATGTATTCATCATATTCAATCATATTTTATGAAACATATACTAAAATGCATGAGTAAATAACTACAACATTCGTAACGATATGACCAATAAAGAAAAAATAAATTAATTAGAATAAAACATCCACAAATATCATTAGCTGCAAATATATTCGAGAATAAACAAATTATTACTATAGTTTAAAAGTACAAGTACTAACTCTGATGACCACTAACAATTAATTTATCCTTGAAATTGCTTTGAAGTCGCCACTTTCAGTGTGAAACTTAATTTTATTTATATATGTTATTATTATTACTATTATTATTATTATTAGTTAGATTTCTCACAATCAATTTGGATTTATGCCTGGTAGATCTATTATGGAAGCTATACATTTTTTGAGAGGTTTGATAGAGAAGTTCGGAGATAATAAAGAGGATCTACATATGATTTTTATTGATTTAGAAAAAAGCTTACAATAAGGTTTGAAGAGATATCCTTTGGAGAGTTCTTTAGAAGAAAGGTGTTGATATGACTCATATTCAATTCGTTAAAGATATGTATGCTAGAGCTATTGCTTGTGTTCGATTAGAAGGAGGATTGAGAAAATATATTTCTTTTTCTCCTATTTCAGTTGGAATACATTAGGGATCAACTTTAAGCACATATACTATTGCTTTAGTTATGGATGCTCTTTTTGGACATTTACAAGAATGGACATTTACAAGAAGATGTACCTTGGTGTGTGCTTTTTGCTGATGATATCCATCTTGTGGATAAGATGAGAGAGGAATCTCAGGAAAAACTTGAATTATGTAGTTCTAAGTTGGAGTCTAAAACCTTCGTTTGAGTAGAACTAAAACTGAATACATGGAATGTAATATTTGTAGTAGCAACTCTACTGACAGAATTGTAACTATGGGTGATCAAATTATTAAAAGGTGTGCGCATTTTAGATATCTCGGGTCTATTGTTCAAAGAGATGGTGATTTAGATAGGGATGTTATTAGTAAAATTCGAGTTGGTTGGATAAAGTGGAGGAATGTTTCGGGCTTATTGTTGATAGAAAAATATTGCTTATACTGAAAGGAAAATTTTATAAGATGGTGGTGAGACCTGCAATGCTCTATGACACTGAATGTTGGCCTTTAAAAGAGAAGCATAAAGGTACGTTAAGTGTTGCCGAGATGAGAATGATTAGGTGGATGAGTGGCTTTTCACTTTAGAGACAAAATGCGAAATGAATATATCCATGATAGGGTTGGTGTAGCTCCAATGATGGACAAAATTAGAGGGAATCGTCTTAGATGATTTTGGTCACATTAAACGTCAACCATTTGATGATCTAATTAGGATAGTAGATGTTTTAGATTTGACTTTTCTTAAAAAAGGCAGAGGTAGACCTAGAAAGATTTGGGCATATTGTATAAAAAATGATCCTATTTTATTAGAATTAAATGAAAATATGATACTAAATAGGATGCAATGGAGTTATTTAATAACTTGATATTTTTAAATTGTATAAATCAGCTTTGTGGATCAATTAGATTTTTTTACCCATTTCTTTACAATTTATTTCTGTTTTGTATAAATCTATGATAGTAGATGTTTTGTTTCTGTTCGATTTATTTGTTCTAGATTTTTTGAATTAGTGTTATCTTATTGCGCAGTGTAGTTTTAATTTTTAATTGATCAAAATCCTAGAAGTATATGTAAGATTTCATCCCAACAAGTTGTATCATAAAGGAGGTTTTTAGATTCGTGTGGGAGCAATGACCGACAAAATAAGGTACAAAGTGAAGAGTTCAATGAATCAAATTTTGCTTTGTAGAAGATGCAAATGGATGATTTGTTGTATCATAAAATATTTTGTCAACCATTTCAACGAAGCACTAAGAAGCCTGAATCAATGACTCTGTAGGAATGAGATGCATTCTATCGAACAACTATATGTTGATTTGTTTATCATATTTCTTGTCTGTTGCATTCAATATAGTGAATGATAAAATTTCGGTGGATCTCATGGTGGCACTGACAAATATATAAGAAAAACTTTTTGTTTCAGATAAAATTTTTCTGATGAAAAGGCTATTCAACAAGAAAAATGGTGTCAGACAGTTTAGAAACATAACATCTAAGCAATTTCAACACTGTAACGAGTCAGTAGTGTTCTATAGGGATCAAATTTGATAATGAAGTTAAGACACTCTTGATTCTCTTCATTTTCGAATAACTAGCATGGGTTAGTTATGACCGTGAGTAACTCTTGAGGGAATATGAAGTTAATCTTTGATGACATCGTAAGATTGGTGTTGAATGAAGAAGTTCGTAGAAAAATAATGAATGCTGAATTTTTAGTTTCTGCATTGAATGCGGAAAATAAAAAAAATGAATTTGGACATGAATACAGGTAGAGATAGATTCAAGTCCCGAAGAGAAAAGTTTAGGTCAAGTAGAGGAAGTGACAAAGGAGAATGCTGTAACTACTAAAATAAAGGATATTTTAAGAAAGTATAAAGCTCTAAGAAAAGCTTGCGGTGGGAGGACAATAAATGAGTCTCTCTACAAATGCCTCAACATTCGAAATCCAAGGTGATTCCTTGATTTTATCCCCACTCAACACTGCATTTTGGATAGTAGATTCATGTCTCTTTTCATGCATACACTAATAAAGAGATATTAAAAAATTACACTTATAATGATCTAAAAAAGGGTTATTTGAGAGAGATTAAGGATTGCAATATCGTAGGAAAGTGTGATGTCGAATGGAAGTTTAGAAGCATACTGAAGTTAAACGTGTTCTAAGTCTGAAGAGAAATCTTATCTCTGTGAATCAACTGACAAAATCAAGTTTCGCCACTACTTTTATAGATGACTTGTAGAAGGTGAAGAGGGAGGCATTATTATGGCTCGTGAAAATATTGAAGAAACTCTTTTTCTGATCAATGAAATAGCAAATTTCATTTTGATGTTGTTGGAACCAAGTTAGATGCAGGTCTATGATACCGTACCTTTAGTCATCTGAGCGAGAAAGGTATGTTTCCCTACTTTTAAAGAATAATTTTTTTAGGGTTTGAAATCGGTAAGTTTTGATTTTTATGAAAATTATATATATGACAAACAGAAAGAATTTTCTTTCTCTAAAGGTTGGTGAAGTCAAGGAAATTGAAGCTAGTATATATTATTGTATAGAGCCTTCAGTTTAATCCATTGGAGGTTCCCACTACATTGTCACATTTGTTGATGTTCACATTAAAAAGTTGTTGTTTACTTCGTACAACAAAAAAATTAAAGTATTCGAAGTGTTTAAAAGTGAAAGATTATGGTTGAAATGAGATAAATTTAAAGTTGAAATGTATCAGATCAGATAATGATGGTGAGTATTGTGATTAGAAATTTAGAAATTTCTATGCTACAGAAAGGGTCAGGCATATGAGTCATTGTCCGAAAAACTCCACAACATAATGGAGTAGCTGAAAGCATGAATAGAACAATCACGGGGTGTATTAGGAGTATGAGGCTGCATGCAAGCTTGCCAAAATAATTATGGTTAAAGCAATAAACACTGTGATTTATTTGCTTAACCATGGTCTTTCAATACCTTTGAATAAAGACTTACCTGAAGAAGTTTGAAATGATACGGAGGTAAACTTGTTTCTTTTGAAAGTATTTGGGTATAATGCATATGTTTATATCAATGCACGGTCTAAGAGTAAGCTTGACTTGAAATCTGTCAAGTTTGCCTTCATTGGATATGACTTAGATGAGTTTGGGTACAAGTTCCTAGATTATCAAAATTAGAAATTTATCAAAAGCAGGGATGTCATTTTCAATGAAATGGAGATGTACAATGACAAGAGCGTAACTCCAGATTTCTCATAACTTACCTGTGAATAGTCCAAGTATGTTGAGATGGAAGACACTGGTGATCAGAAGAGTGAAAAAAAAGAAGAGCTTAACTAGATGGAATATAAGAAGTTCCTCAGTCACTTGCTACTGAAGTAGAGAGATTCAACAGAGTAATACAATCGATACATAAGTGTTTTCTTGTCACATTATTTGTTGCAAACTAATTATAGTAATTGGACTGCTTTGAGTAAGCCACTCAAGCTGAAAATTCAAGGGAGTGAGAGCTTGCATGGATGATGAGATGCACACTATGGTGTCAAATCGAAGGAATTTGATGGTATTATCAGATGACAAAAGAGTATTACACAATAAATGGGTCAACATGTTGAATGATGAGTCAGATGGTAGTAGGAACTAAATGGAAAGACTTGTTGTGAATGAGTCAACAGAAAGAATGAGTGAATTACACATATTTTCTCCAGTGGTGAGGATAGCAACCGTCAAAGTTGTGCTAAGTCATGTTGAAGAAAATTTACATATGGAACAGATGAATGTAAAAAAAATTTCTTATATGGAGATATGAAGGAACTATACATGGTGTAATCGAAGGGAAAAGAAGGCTTAATCTATAGGTTAAAGAAAAGCTTTTATGGCTTGAAATAGATATTTGAAGACAGTGGCACAAGAGGTTTGACAGGTTCATATCAGACAGCGGGTACATGATTGGTTAGGCAGATCACTGTTGGTTTATAAAACACTTTGGTAATTGTTCTATTTTGTTTTTCTGTATGTGGGTGATATACTGATTGCGGGGATAGATATAGATAAAGTTGGGAATTTAAAGTATCAATTATTAAGTGAGCTCAAGATGAAGGATTTACGTCTAACCAGAAAGATCCTTATGATGAGAATGAATAGGGATAGAAGCGCATGCACGCTTGAATTGTCTCAAAAAGAGTGACAATGTTGAACATAAGTGAGGCAAAGCCCAGTTTGCATCATCTTAAGTAGTCGCTTCAAGATATTAAAGAAATTATCGCCTAATTTTAAAGTAGAGCAAACACGAATGGAGAGAACTCTGTATGCCTCAGCGGTTGGAAGTTTGATGTATGTTATAATTTGTATTATACCTAATATTGCATATGTAGTAAGAGTGTTTAGCAAGTAGATGAGTGATCTAAAAAATATCAATGTAAGGTGGTGATGTGGATTTTGCTATGAATGTGCAAGAATTTGTCTACAAGGATTTTTAAATTTTGATATGATAGGAGACTTGGATAATAGAAGGAGTACAACAGGGTATATCTTCACTGTGGAGAACCCAACTGCAAATTGGGTTTCAAACTGCAGAAGATTGTTACACTTTCAACTATGGTGGTCGGATACATTGCTATCACCGAGGGTTGCAGTGAGATGATTTGGCTAAAAGGCTTTATAAAGGATTTGAATAAGGAGCAAGGGATTGGAAAGCTTCGTCATAACAGTATGAGTGCAATTCATCTCGTTAAGAATGTTATTTTTTTTTTTTGCCAGGACAAAACACATTTAACCGAGACATCACTTTATATTCTCTCTTCTATAAGATGAGCAATTACGTTTGGAGAAGATACACAGCTTAGAATGTCGTGGACATGTTGACGAAGGTGGTGATTATTAAGATATTGGAGCTATGTTTGGCTTTAGTTGGAGTCCATGAAGGTTACGACTGAGGGTGAGCAACATCATAGTTCGTGACTATCAAGATGGTGCAAATGAAGTTATAGATCTTGAGGATATATGTTGGGCGCTACCTGTCTTCAAGTAGATGATTGTTGTGTTTTGCAGCCTGGATGCACCCACAACCGCATAAAACCCACAATTGCAAGAAGCACATAGTTGCAAGCCTATGTCTAGGGTTGACATAGCCTTTTTTTTTGCCTTGGCTTTTTAGCCAATTTTGTAATATTTTTATTTTATATTAATGCAAAATGCACACCCTTCATGGGCTTGGCTATGGCGTAGCTACACCGGCCAACGTAACTATGGCGCAATAGGCATAGCCATGCTTTGGAGAATGGCTCGTTCTTTTTGTTCAATCCGAGTGGACTAAATAATTATGCTGCTACTCGGCGTGACCATACCACTGAGCAATTCCTTATGTTCAGTTCCTTAAGTCCACGATTTTCGGCTACAAAAGTAAGAAGTTCTCACATGCGGTATTTCTTGTGCAGCGGAAAAGAGTGTAGGAGGAGGATTTCGGCGCTCGAGAAGAGGAAAGGTTTGGACCAATGGTTTGTAAGTTCTATTGATTGTAGAGAGGAGATCTAAGTGAGTTTTTTTGTACATTTTGGCTCTTCATAGTGGAAATATTTTTGCAACGTGGCTCCATGATTGTTTTTCATCCTCGGATTTTTTCACATTAAATCTTGCTGTGTTTATTTCTGGAATTGTTTTGTTGTGCTTTTGTTTGATTTATTTTATTCCGGATTTCTTAAATATTGTGATCCTATTCTGCAGTATAGTTTTGATTTCTAATTGATCGAAGCTCTAGAAGTACATATATGATTCCATCCTAATATTTTGTCCTCCCAATTTGCTTAATATTAAACAATTTATAACTTTTCATAAACTTTATTTATTCATTTTGAATTAGAGCTGTATAATTTTGACTCCTTTTTCAGAGATGAAATCTATTCAAACAGCATCAGCAGTTGACACAGCAAAAATCAAATCTGCAAATAACACAACATTTCAAACGGCTCCTTTTAGCCTGAAACCTCCTCCCTTTGACAGGCAAAATAAATCTTTTGATGAAGATGATTCTGTCAAAACACCTGTGAAGAAGGCAAAAGCTGTATCTATAAAAACAGCAGTTTATTCTGTAGCAGATCTACAGATTGCTACAGATAACTTCAGTGTGGATAATCTTATTGGCGAAGGTCCTCATGGCCGAGTGTATGTGGCGCAATTTTCGGACAGTAAGGTAACTATTTACTTCGACCATTTCCTTAAGTGTTGCTATTTATTTTGAACCATTTATTTGAGTTAATTTAAGCATCTAAAAATGTTATTACTGCAATCATGTCGCACTATGGGGCAAAGGAAATTTACTAAAAATCTCCGATTTGAATAATGTTTTTTTAGGGGTATTTACATACAAACCACACAATTCTTATGTATTTACATATCTAACTTCTAAACTTTATTATTTACATTTATAAAACTCAATACTTTAAGAACACATAAAAAATACCACAATTAGAAACTTTTTAAAATTGAAATACCCGTTTTCATGCATAGATTTATGACACTAGTGTTCTACGTGTAAATGTCAAATTTTAAGTGTTTGATATGTAAATTGCATAAGTATGTAAATGCCCCTTTTTCTTATTGGCCATAAAATGGCTGGAAGTGTTAAACAGCTACTGTAAAAGTAGTGCAGTATTTCATTTTTGAAAAATAAACATAGAAAGGAAGGCTGTCTTATAGTGGTGGTATTCTCTTGCTATAAAAAGTAAGGGAAGCTAAATAAAAATAAAAATGAAATGTAAAATAAGGGAAGCTAATTGTTCCATATTCTGTATGAACATAATTCATTCTTGCATTGAAATTCAATTTCAACCATTGCAAAAACATTTTTTGTCGCATTAGCTCCTCTCGGTTTTATTTGGTATCTATTCTTTACTTTGATTATGTAATACTTTTAAAATAGATAGCTTATCTAGCGTTTTTACTCTTTTCCTTCTCCAACCATGCGCCTAATCTTTATATAGCAAACTGAAATATGTTTCTATTTCCTTATTCTAACTTTTTTTTTGAAGATTTACATACATACAACTTAATTCCAAGTATTTACATATCTAACACCCAAACTTCAAATTTTACATATGTGCCACCTTATCTATGCATAAAAAGGTGTGTTTCACTTTTTAAAAGTTAAAATAAAAGGTATTTTTTATGTGATATGAAATATTTGGGTGGTATAAATGTAAAAATAGGAGTTTAGGTGTTAGATATGTGTATGCATAAGAATTGGGTGGTATGCATGTATGTGCCACTTTTTTTTTCCTAAACTCTTCATGCACCGTCTAACAACTTTCCTCTTTAGGTTCTGGCTGTGAAGAAAATAAGTTCTTCCTCTCTAATCAATGAATCGTCTGAGTACTTTATTGGATTAGTTTCAAACATTGCACGTTTAAATCATCCAAATCTATCCGTGTTGGAGGGCTATTGTTCTGAGCACGGGCAGCACTTACTTGTGTATGAGTTCCATAAAAATGGCTCGTTACACGATCTCCTTTACCTCTCCGATGAGCATGAAAATCATTTAACTTGGAACACTCGCATAAAGATTGCGCTTGGGACCGCTAGAGCTTTAGAGTATGTAAAAACCTTTTCTTTTTTATGATGTTTCCATGTGGCATTTTTTCCTGAGAAGATTTACATGCATACCACTCAATTTCTAGGTATTTACTTATCTTACACTAGAACTTTTAAGTAAGGTGGAATGTATAAAAAAGTGAAGTTCTGCTGTAAGATATGTAAATGCATAGAATCTAGGTAGTATGCAAATGTCCCCTTTTCTTGTGCATAGCTCGGCATTTCATCTAAGAATTGCTTCAATTGTGCTTCACACACCTGGATTTGAGCTTTTGATGTATAAATTACAATTGTCAATTTTGGATCTTTTCTCTAAGCATTTGCCAACTAAAACCAATGGTCATTTTCTCCTTTTTGAAATGAAGTTCCTTTCTATCCATTCTATCTACCTAATTTAAGAAGATGGAAGATTTACATGGATACTACACAATTCTTATATATTTACATATCTAACACTACTCAATTTTTCGGTATACCAATTTGTGAAAAGGTATATTTCACTTTTTAATAGTTAAAATGGTGATATTTTTGATGTGATAAGAATGATTTGGGTGCCATTATTGTAAAAAGTAACATTTAGGTGTTACTTATGTAAATAGATAGGAATTGGGTGTTCTGTATGTAAGCTATTTGCCAGCTTCAACACTTTGAAGTTACTGAAGAAAGAATTGCTCAAAAAATTTGCTTTGTACATTCATAACATGAGCTTGAATAGGGTATTACAATGTTTTACGAATAAATCCCTAGACCTCATTTTTCTTTTTTTACCAATTTGGTCATAATTTAGGTCCATTTCCCAGCACTCCCCCTCAAGATAGGCAAAAGATATCCACTAATCCCATCTTGTCACATAACCTAGACAAATCTAATGAGCTATGTACTTTGGTGAGGCAGTCGACCGGTTGCTCTGTAGTGGCTACATGATTTCGCTCCAGCGGCCAATTTTTTTGGCTTTTCCTTGATGAAGAATCTATCAATCTCCACATGTTTGGTTCTATTGTGTTGCGCTTGGTTGTTGGAAATGCTGATTGGTGGCTTGTTGTCGCACCACAACTTCATTTGAGTTCCTTGGTCCACCTTGAGCTCGACCAACAAGGCTCTCACCACATCATCTCAGCAACTCATAAGGCCATGACTCTATACTCTGTTTTGTTGTTGGCCTCGCTACGATGGACTATTTCTTGCTATTCAAAGAGATCAAGTTGCCCCTAAAAACATGTAGTATCTTGAGCTGAATCTTTTGTTATCTATACAACTCGCCCAGTCAGCATTACAAAAGCCCTCAATATATACATGCTTTCTCTAGTGCACTCTTCACGTACCTCAGAATTTGATACACTGTATCCATATGGCTCTTTCTTAGATCATGCATGTAGCGCTCATCACACTCATTGCAAAAGAAATGTCGGGTCGAATGTGACATAGATAAATCGAACAACCCAACAATCTTTGTTATCTCTCACGATCACCCTGTTCTCCTGCCTCTGCACTGCTTGACCTTCTTGTCAATTAGAGAGATGCAGGGTTGCACTCCATCATGCCTGTTTTCATTAGATCTAGTACATATTTTCTCTGTGACAAGAATCCTCTGAGGTTCCAGGGCCACTTTAATCTCAAAAAAGTATCTGAGTTGTCCAAAATCCTTCACCTCAAATTCATTGCTCAATCTTACCTTTAGTTGGGCAATCTCTCCTTCATCATCACTGATGACAATGATGTTATCAACATATACAACAAGTATAGTGGTGTGACCTTCTGTTGTTGAAAGAATACCGTATAGTTTGTATTGATCTGCAGATATTGCTCCCACGTGTATCACTCTCTCACAATGACTACTTACCTTTTGCCTCATATCTCAAATATTTAGCGGGTCACCGAGGGCTGAGAAAACCTTTTGGGCATTCTCTAAATAACACATTCGTGTTCATAAACAATCTCTTTTCTTTTGGATTCCAATAGACATACCCCTTATAAGTACTAGAACAATCTAGGATCACATTTCATAGCTCTGGCATCCAGCTTCCCTACTGATGGTTTGTTATCCTTCACGAAACATACAAATCCAAACACCATCAATGAGGATTCTGCTTTTATCTTCTTTCAACATCTGATAAGGAGACCTCCAATCCAACACTTTCGATGGCATTTTGTCGATCAGTTGAGAGTTGTCAAAACTATTTGCCCCAATAATTACTTTGGGACATTACAATCATCATGCTTCGGGCAATCTCTAGAAGGTGTCTATTATTCATTTCTACTACATTTTGTGATGGTATATATGGGCATGTGGTTTGATGCTATATCTCTTGAGCTGACAAGTATTCCCCAAATACTTTGTTAGTAGACTCTGTCCTATTATCAGACTTCAGTATTTTCACTACTGCACGATATTGAGTCTGGGTTGCATTATGGAGCAAGCAAACACATCACTTTGATTTTTCGTCAGTCTGATTCCCATTACTCATATAAGAGCTCATATTAAGCTTGCCAAACTCACTAGCGTCACAAACAAGTTTTTGCTTATTTGTATTTTCTTCCAATGAATGATATAATCAACTTAATAAACTAAAAGAACAGTGTCTCATGCGTCTGTGATGTTGCGCAACACATACTTCACACTCCTCTCAGATTCTCCTACTTCACCATTTTCTACCATGGATAGCTGAGTCCATCCCCTCCCGATCCAAGTACTAGAGTCCTTTATGCCACATTCAAGTCCCAAGTGTCCAACTCGTCACTTTCTTCAGAATAATCACCTTAGGAATATAAAAAACAACACATTTTAGTTGGTGAATAATAACGTTAATGGATAAAAGGTTGATTGAAAAAGAATGAACATACAAAACATTAGAAAAAGTCATATAATTGGTACCTCTCACTGTACCCTTACCAACTACAGGTTGGGTTCTACCATCAGTCGTTTACATGCTCTCTGATACTATTAGGGGAGTCTAGACAGAAAAATTTCGAGCAGTACCTGCTACATGCCGAGATACATCAAAATCTACTAGCCATTTTGATGATCCTGTGGTGAAATAAGCAGGTGTATCACATGTACCTTTGTCAGAGTAAACATAAGTGGTAATGTTACCCTTTGATAATGATTGATTGGAAGTATCTTCAACCCCATCTCCTGCTACTTTTTGCTTCTTCTTCAACAACTCAAGGCACTTATGATCATCATTGATAAAAACCACACTAGTCTCTCCTTCATCTGCTATCATTATATTAGCTTGGTAGCCCCATTTTCCACCTTTTCGCCACCACAACCTCCACCCTGTCCACATCCACCTCTCTCGTTCGTTGTGGCCTAGGATAGGTTTTGCTCAGATGCCTGACTTCACCACAATTGTAGAATTTGTGATTCTTTCCTAGACACCTATCATGTTTGAGCTCAAGGTAGCTAACGCTAATCGTGCACTTGAAAGCACTCAGCTCATAATGTTGCTTCATGCGACTCTCTTATATCATTACAGAAATGACCTCTCTGGTAAAGAGATAGTCGCTTGGGCTAGGAGAATTGATCTCCTCTGATCAAAGACCGGGTTCAGATAGGTCAGAAATTGCATAGTTCTCATTTGTATAAGGATCCCTCTTTCTTGCACTCTGGATCGCCACAGCTCAACATCTGTGAGAATTGATCAAGATTTGCCCACAACCGCTCCAAATCTATGGCACATTCCTAAATCAATCTATCACCCTGTACCACTGCTTGTGTCTCATGTTGAATCTGGAACACCCTTATGCATTTCTCTGTCCGAGCATTAATCCTCTTCAGTTTTGCCCAATGCCTCTCATCTAACGAATGTCATTTACTGATAAGGCAATTGATGGAACCATAGAGTATAGAAGCCAAGTGTAAAGTAAGGCATGTGTGGCCCTCTATTAATCTCTCTCATCACTGTCACTCACTGGCTCAGCCTTGACTCCCTTCAGATATCCCTCTAGTTTCTGCCCTATTAAAGCAACCTCTATCTTACATGACCAACTCAGATCCGTGGCTAGTCCATCAAGCTTGAGATCCAGATGAGGGAGATCTAGCTTCACCTGCGTCAAAGCACATCCTAAGGTAGTAGCACTCGTTGAGACGCTAGCTCCTTCTATGAGTCGATCAAAGCTTTCAGAACCTCAGGATATATCTTCCCTAGATGCTTAAATCCCTTACCACTTGCACCATCTCCTTCTCATAACATCCTTAATCATAAAGATCCAAGTCTAGATCACACGCGACTTCTTTCCTGCATCTCTATCTGTTCGTTCCACTTTGTTTCCTCCTCCTGTCCTTGCACAGTGCTGCTCTACAGCTTCCACTTACAGCAAACCGTAGAATCCCCCTCATACGCAAATCCCTCGTGATACAGTCTGGAAAGCAATTCTGGAATCGCAGTGTGCAGAGAACCTTGTGATATAGTCGTGACCGAACCTCAGGACCGAAGCCCTCAATACAGTCATGACCGCAATCGTGATCGAACCGTACCTTCGTGACTGAACTCTGTGAGAAAGTCACGATTAAAGCTTGCTAGGAAGACGGGGAATTGATCGAATCCACCCTACGATACAATCGTGATCAGACCTTTTTGGGAAGAAGGCAAAGACGTGAGGCGGCTAGGTTAAGCTCTAATACCATGAAGAATAATTGCCCAAAAACCTGCTTTGTACAGTTATTACATGGGCTTGAATAGGGAATTACAATGTTTTAACATAAATCCCTAGACTTCTTCAATATTCATTTTTTACCAATAGGACCCTAAGTTAGGTCCAATTCTCAACGGTTACTGCACTCTGTATGCTGACTCAATTTCAAGCTTCTACATGCTTATCCTTTTTTAGTTTTTTGAACTGCATACATGTTATAAAGATTAATTATGCTTATTGTGGTTTTCTTAATTATGTGTTTTCTCAGTATTGAAACTGTATAATATGGATAATATTCTGTTTTCTGAGAATTAGTTGTCGACTAGAGTTATATTTTATAATGCAATTATTTCTCAAGTGTAACCCACAATTTAATTTTTTCCAGGTATTTGCATGAAGTTTGCTCTCCATCTGTCATTCATCGTAATTTCAAGTCGGCCAACATTTTATTGGATGCTGACCTCAATCCTCACCTTTCTGATGCTGGCCTTGAAAGCCTTATCCCTTGTGCAGAATATCAGGTGAACTTAATACTGTTTTTTTGAGTAAATTTTTAAAAGGATCCCTAAATTTTCATTAGATTTTCTCATTATAGTCCTCCTTCACTTGTTTAATTTAGCGCATCAACTCATTAAAACTAAACTAATTTACTCATACTTTTGACCCAAATAGCTGTTATATCCTATGTTAAACAGATTATAGGGGTGTTGGTTTTGGGTTGTCAGATCGGATTTTGGTCAAATTTTTTTGGGTTGGGTCAATTCGGGGTTAGATCCCAACCCATGAACCTTATTTTAGACCCATAGTCATAGAAGATTATAATAGTAGTGCTTAAAACATTTTGTATTTTTTGCAACTTTATGTAGGACAAGTTATCTGGATATAATGCTCCTGAGGTTTGCTTGTCTGGACACTACAGTTTAAAGAGTGATGTGTATAGCTTTGGAGTTGTTATGCTTGAGCTTCTGACAGGAAGAAAACCCTTTGATAGGTAACTCCTACTATTGATTTAGTGCAAGTGAGTTACACAGGAATCAGAGATTCAGAGCAATTTATAAGTTGGTGCATTTACATACACACCGCCCAATTCTTATGTATGTAAATATCTAACACCTAAACTTTACCTTTTACATTTATACCTACCAGATATTTCATATCACATCAAAAATACCACCATTTTAACTTTTTACAAACTGAAATACACCTTTTCCATGTATAGGTAAGGTGGTATGTATGTCTGTAAAAATTGAAGTTTAGGGTGTTAGGTATGTAAATACATGAGAATTGAGGGGTATGCACCAAAATCTTCTGATATGTATTTACATATATACCACCCAATGCCTATGTATTTACATATCTAACACTTAAATTTTATTTTTTACATTTACACCACCATAATTTTTCACATCACATCAAATACCACCATTTAACTCTTAAAAAAGTGAAATATGCCTTTTCATGGATAGATAAGGTGGTATGTATGGATAAATTGAAGTTTAAGTGTTAGATATGTAAACAAATTGGAATTGAGCGGTACGTATGTAAATCTTCCTTATAAGTTTCATTCTCCTGATAAATATGGAATCTACATTATCTTGTGAAAACTGAAACTAAAAGAAAAGATATCATCTGTTTTGTGTTTGCAATCTTCATCATGGCAGCTCAAGATCAATATCTGAGCAATCATTGGTTCGGTGGGCTACGCCACAGCTCCACGATATTGATGCCCTCGACAAGATGGTCGATCCAGAACTCCATGGGCTGTACCCTGGAAAGTCACTCTCGCGCTTCGCTGATGTTATCGCTCTTTGCGTTCAGGTAACTTTTGATATGAGTTGATTTATACTTTTCTCGCTGGAAAATAGACAGAACCTATTTCAAGTAAGAGAGTTAAGAAAAAGAATAGTAGCGAAGAAGATCAAGGTATAAAAAATTAACTAGAATTTTATACTGATTCACCTAATTGTCTTGTTGCTTTTGCCGTATAATTCATCATGATTTGATTTTCAGAGTATTATAACTCTAAATACTGTACTACAAGTATAAGATGGCTTTCACCTCTTCATAAATACAACCTACAACAACGACAATAACATCTAGTCTTCTCCCATTAAGTGGGGTCAGCTATAGGAATCAGTTTTCTCCATTGTGTTCTATTAAGTGTCATATTTTTGTTTACTTCTAATAAATTAAGATTATTTCTTATACATTATGCCCAAATCTTTTTAGGTCCAACTCTACCTTTCTTCACTTAAGTCAAATTTAAAACATCTATTTTCCTAAGAGGAACATCAAATTATCGACGTTTAACATGACCAAATGATCTAAAGTGACTCTCTAAGCTCCTGTCACTGGAGCTACTCCAACCCTTTCACCGATATATTCTTTTCGCATTTTATCATTAAGTGTAAAGCGCATTTTATCTTTAAATGTAAAGCCACTCATCCACCAAAGCATTTTCTTCAGCAACACTTAATTTTGTGTTTCTTTTTTATGGGCGAACATTATGCACCATTAAACATTTCAAGTCTCACCAACATCTTATATAATTTTCCTTTTAAACTGTAAGAGGGCCGATGCATTCCTCCATTTCAACGGTCTACAATTTGAATTCTACTAAAAACGTCCTCATCTATATATGGCAGCCAAAAATATGATAAAATAACCCACAATATTTGATACATTTCTTGGACCTCATCCCTAAACCTATAGGAGGGGAGTTCCCACACCCTCTTCAAATCTTCCTATAATCTTTAGGGACATAGCTCACAATTCTAATGTATTTGCACATCTCACACTTAAACTTTTATATTTGTACACATATTACTCATATATTTAAAGTCACATAAAGAAGTTAATCTTGAACTATAGGACGACGATTTATACGTTCAAGGCATTTACATACATACATATCACCCTTATGTGTTTACGTATCTCACACCTGAACTTTAATATTTACACAGTACTCAAATCTTTAACATGACATCAAAAACAGTATTATTACCGCTTTTTAAAAATAAATCTTTTCATATATAGGTTTATATCACCAAAGTACAATATATGTAAATATGAAAGTTTAGATGTGTGATATGAAAATATATGAGAATTATGTTTACATATGTAAATTTTTCTTTGATAAAATAACTCACGAGCGTTGTGTATGTAAAAACCAGCAATCTTTAATGTTTAGGTCAACTTATGACTAAATTTGAATTGCATGTTTTATTCGTAGGGGAAAAACTAGATTTCACAGCTTAATATTTCTTGATGTACCTTGAAAAGGTAACATAAACCACATAAAGAAAAAACAAAATATTATATGAATGAAATCCAAAATAACTGGCATAGGAAAGATTCATTCTTCTTCTTTTTCCTGATCGATAAAAAATAGTATTATTTTTAGTTTTAAAAATTAAATACATCTTTTCATGCATATGTAAGGGGGCATACATGTAAAAACATAAATTTAGGTGTTACATATATAATTACATAAGAATTGAGTGGTATGCATATAAATCATTCTTTATGTTTTAACAGCCTGAGCCGGAGTTCAGACCTCCCATGTCGGAAGTAGTTCAAGCATTAGTTCGTCTCGTGCAAAGGGCCAACATGAGCAAGAGAGTGCTTTCCGGCGAAGTACAAGATGGGGCTCGACGAACAAACGACGGAGACACGCACGACTACATGTACTAAATGGTAATGGCGGACGAAATGGTTTCCTACCTTCCGGTTTGGATACAGGGAGCTGCTGGCCAAGTCTTCTTGTTCCCTCTGCTGTTAAATAGCTCAAAACTCTACTGAAGGTCATGATAATAACAAGGCCATGGCCTTCCTCTCCGCTAGGAAGAAATGTGTTTTGTTTATGTTTGTCTGCTTTTTTATTTTAAATTATTGTTGAGACCATGCTCTTCTTTATAGTTTTAATGGCCTGATTTATGTAAAATAGATTCCTGGAAGCCTGCTGCTTCTAGTTCTTACAGTGCTAATAATTAAGTTCTTATTTTCAAGTGTTAAAATTCTGGTAGTAGCATTGAGACATTGAAGGAAACTTTTTTTAAATAATTTTTTTCTCAAAAAAATACTGGAATAAAATCATGTCAATTAAAACTTTGACACCACACTACATTTATGCATACTTAGAACAAATCTTCAAAGTTTTTATTAATTTTGGACTATTAATATAATTATTGTATATTTTTAGAAGTTAATAAACTTTATTTTTAGCACTTCATAATGAGAGTGATCTTAAGTGATAGAATATTTGTCTATAATCTGTATAAAGCTAAATGATCTACTGATTATCTAAATGGCTTATTTTAGTTTTTATAAAGGGGGTTTACTCACATATCACTCAAATCTATTAGTATCATATATCTCACACCTAAGTTTCAATATTTGAATTATTTTAGATGCTACTCTTCAAGGATTTTAATAATATTTTACCATATTGATACTACTCTTTTCAAGAGATTTAATGATTAATTTTTTTAAGATAAATTTTGAAGCTTAATTTAGAAATAGGCCCTTCTAATTGAAATCATTTATCAATTTTGTTATCATTAGATATTTGATTGGATTGATTTGAATCTTCTCAACTCTATTCCGATTATAAAGGATAAGATTTAGAAATTGTATGAATTAAATTTCAAATAGACTTTGAACTTTAAAGCTAAATTCTGAAAGTTGAGCCCCTTCGGTTAAAGTCTTCTATCAATTTTATCTGTATCAAGCATTTGTTTGGATTGATTTGAATCTTATCAACTATTGCCTGCTTAATAAAATTGGGTTTATATATTATATTGATTGAGTTTAGAAATAGGTTTTAAGATCTAATTTTAAAATTCCCTCCCATTGAGGTTTTTTAGAAATAAAACCCTCCAATTGAGGTTTTTAATTTGACTTTTAGAAATAGGCTTTGAAACATAATTTTAAAATAAGCCTCTTACATTGAAATTTTTTTATTAACTCGATCATCATCGGAGAATTTGAATAGTTTTGAATCTTGTCAACTTTGTTCCGCTTAGAGAATTAGGTTCAAGATTAACATTTGATTGAATTTGAGCATTATTAATTGTTGTTCTGCTTAGAAAGGATCATATTCAATAATTGTAATACTTGAATATATTCAAATGTTTATTGAAACTAAATTTTAAAAATAGCACTTCAGATTGAAATTCATTGTCTACTCAGTCATCGTCGGGTTTGATTGTTAAATTTGAACTTTGGCAACTCTTCCCCACTTACAAAGGACCAGGGTCAAAATATTGAATTCATTTGATATATTATAGACCTTTTCTACTTTATTCCATTCATACAAGATTAGGTCTATGAATTAAGTTCATTATTATAATTTTTGGAAAATATACTTGATCGTGTTCCTTTCTTATGCTAGCTGAATGGCCTTCTTGGTGCATCTCCTCTTCAGATTATCCTTTTTAGGTCACCCTCATTTAAAATTAAAGGAAGAGAGGATAAATTGGAGGTAGATAAAAATTAAAAAGAAACAAAAATGGTGGTTATGAAGATATTTATATAAAAAATCCTCATAACATAAACCAAAGAAGAGCTGTCCAAAGTAAATCATGCTCGACCCGAGAGAATAAACGAGAAAGATCTTCGTATCCAAACCATAATAAAAATGAATTTATTTGTTTTGGGTTCAGAGAGACCTCTGACAATAATATATCATGGTCAATTATGTCCTCGGGAATATTGAGAAAACTCATGATATAAGATGTTGTGTTTGCTTAAAATAGTTTCAAAACACAGACAACCAAAGAAATTTTTGGCGCAGTTAGTAAGGGAAAATCTTCTAGTCATCAGGGTAGAATTACGCCAAGGTAGAGGGTCAATCACTAAGACCTGGCAGGTAGACACCGTTGTGCTAAGAGGTAATACGATGCATGCCTACAAAGGGCTCGACAAAGGAAACTATTGTGCCCCAAGGGTTAGTCCAATAACCTAGATAGATAGAGAGTCTGGTTGGGGCTCCATGGATCAGTCCTCTCAAACTATTGGGATGTTGAATCTACTAAATCGTGAAGGTAGTCGATCTAACTTAACTGAAGATCACTTCATCAACAATCTATATGTTGTAAAGGGCTCGACAAAGGAAACTATTGTGCCCAAAGGGGTAGTCCAATAACCTAGATAGATAGAGAGTCTGGTTGGGGCTCCATGGATCAGTCCTCTCAAACTATTGAGATGTCGAATCTACTAAATCGTGAAGGTAGTCGATCTAACCCAACTGAAGATCACTTCATCAACAATCTATATGTTGCATCGTTCGTAGCAATCTAGTAGATCCAAAGTTAAAGGAAAGAAACATCTTTGTTCCTATGAATCTATTTAGTTAAAAGGGTGGAGTAAGGATTATACCTACCAAGGGTATTTACAAAAAATCTATACAAAAGAAAAAAAAAAGGAATGGAGAACTCAGCTACAAAGCTAGGCTACCCTACAAATAATTTACAATCCTATATGGATTGTGAGAGCATCTAACTCCATATATTGCATGAGACAATCATCTAATCGTACAAAATCTATGATAAGCCATTCAAATTGGAAAGCAAGAGTACCTTCCTCGGATTATACAATATATAGGAAATTATCTAAGACATCCCAATCATGGAAGCTCTATAAATATGCAAAGGGGATAAATTCAGTCCTTTTATGATTTGTTTAAGCTGGCCTAAAGGACATGTAGGAAAGTAAGGATAGCAAATGAAACTTTAATTTTTAAAATCTTAAATGTTCTATACTAAATTTTATTAAGATAAATTGTTTATGATTAACTTTTATAGCAAAAGATTTTATTTTCAAACAAACCATAGGCCTAATAAAGAGTGAAAACATGTAAAATGGAGTAAAGAAATGCACTCAATATAAAATAATAAAAAGTTGGGTGCTCCTGGGTTGGCTAAAATCTTAGAAAAGGAAATAGAGGTGGTCGGCTCTACATATGCATACCTGATTCTAGTACTATACAATAAATGTGAGATATGGAATTAAGGTTTGAGCCACAAATAAACAACTCATGGTCCTCACCACACGATCCGAGCTCCACGCTCCAAGACTCGTGCTTACACCTTATTATCAGTACAGATTCTTCTAAGGGACTTTAAAAGTTCTTGAAAAAAATCCAAGGAAATATTGAACATGAAAAACAAAGTTCAGTATGGGATATCTCATGCAAAACATAAAATACCATATATGGCAGAAGGAGAGCTAAGAAGTGCCTATGGGAAATGAATCTCACCTATAAGAAAAAATCCAACTTAATAGCTAATGTGCAAGCCACAAACTCAATAAAACATGTAAATGACATACCAAATGTATACCAACTAGCACCAATCAATGAATAACAAGTTCCGGATTAGAACTACAAGGTGTTACCTACGTATACATCTATGTGCAAAACGTGCTAGTGCAAAGGCTATGGGTCTTCATGTAGTATCTTAACAGGTCACCAAGCTGTCTCCCTTCAAAGAATTTGAATGAACTAACTCTCTTCATGATGAGCAGCAAATGTTAGCAATCCAGACCTATGCTTAGAATGATTTTATGAAATTTAGTAATAATAGGATAACTAACATTACACATTTAGGTGAGCCGATGAGTGATGCTTATTTTCTAATTTTCACTACAAGTCAAGCTAAGGGCCATTTAAGTTCTGCCACTAACATGTCGACTAGTGAGACCTATACCTACATGGTGCAACAGGAAACATGATCATACTTTAAGAAGTTAGATCTCGTGTGCAGGAACATAGAAGATCAATGCACAAAACATGCCACAAAGGATATGCCTTGGGAGCTGAGCCCTAACGACATTAAAACTAAGTCAAAACCCCTTTACAGAGGCTAAAAGTTAAGAAAACATGCAAGATATGCACGAGCAAAGACATTATGGACTTAAGCTCAAGAATCTCATCATGATGCCCAAAATGTCACATAAATGATAAAATGGAACCAATAAAATGAGAACAAGTAAGACACACATGTAAATGAATGAATGTGAAAACACCCTTTTATCATCAGAGAGAGGGAGCACATAATCATGGAGCATATTGAACAATCATTAAATTATGGGGATTAAAGGAGGTGACACTCGGACACTAACAAAGAGCATCCTGAGCTAACCCCTTTTGCCTCCTAGACAGAAAGAAGATGATGTTGACAATGTGAAGACTCAATGCAACCCATATTTAGTCAGTGTCACCATATATATATATATATATATATATATA